CCAGGTTCATTAAATTGAGTTAAATGAAAACGAATATATCTATCAATCTCATAAGGACGTGTAAGAAATCGTATTGCTGCACAAAATTACGTGGACATCAGTGCGAAGATCATTTGATATAATCAGTTCTATATCAACAACGTCAGTTAAAAGATTCTACAAAATATCAAATGTCTCTCGGAATTTGTCTAAAATCAAGCATCATGCCTCGGCTATAACTATGCACATTCATATGAGATATCTCTTAATTTGATTACGTCTAACTTAGATATTAATTCTTTTTGACCATTCCTGTTCAGAAGCATGCACCATGTGATCATACTGAAAAATATTAAAACTTGTTAAATTTTTCAATAGGTAGCATCTACAAAAGTTATTTGAATCTCTAAAAATGAAATACAATGATGCAACAGCATACACACATACACTCACACACACACACACACACACATATATATATATATATATATATATATATAATTATTTATGTGTGCATGTGTGTAAATTATTTCGTACATGCCATATATTTCTGTAAGGAAATACCTTTGAATACAAACAAAAATATTTTAAACAAAGAATGTAGAATTTCGATTCAATAAATATAATGTAAATTGAAAAAAAAGTTTAACTGAAAAATCATAGCAACGTTTAATTTCACCAAAAGAAACTTTACTCACCTGGGTAAAAAAAAAAAAAATTGCCACGAAATATTTGTAAGTAAATATTTTTTAAGTAATGTTCGCCAAACCAAAACATAATTTTTATTTTGATGGAATTTTTAAAAATACGGTTGTTGCACAAAAATAGCTGCTATTGCATTAACACGATATATACATGACTGGATCGAATATTTTCGTGATTTCAAAAGTGTATGAATTAAAGATAGTGCGTTACATTTGAAAATGGGAGTAAAAGGTATGCGGATACAAATGCACACACTGAAGCAGCGGATGTGTAACATAAAAAGTCCTGATCATTAAATTTATGAGATGAGCTGGGGACAGGATTCCTGAGAATCCCTGGTCATTAAATTTACTTAAAGATGGGCTGGAGACAAGATTCCTCAGAAACACACGTTATTAAATTTACTTAAAAATTGCCTGGAGTCAAGATTCCTGGAAAACCATGGTCATTAAATTGAGTTAAATGAAACGAATATATCTATTAATCTCATAAGGACGTGTGAGAAATTGTATTGTTGCACAACAATATTACATGGGCATCAGTGCGAAAATTATTTGTTATAATCAGTTCTATATGAACAACGTCAGTTATAAGATTCTACAAAATATCAAATTCTCTCGGAATGGGTCTAAAATCAAGCAATTTATGGTCTGCAATTGGAATCAATTCCGTGATAGCACAGTGAATCTATCATTGAAATTCCGAATGAAGCATTTGGAAATACTAAACACTTGAAATACCTGCTTGTATGGGTCAATTACAATAAATTTAGCATAGGAGATAAGAGCATTGAAGATAGAATAGGCTGCACTAGATGCAGTTTCTCCCAACACCACAAATACAATACAAACAAAATCTTATAAAAACTCTAATCATGTCCTTAAAAATCTTCATCAGATCCAGACTTTCATATAGATTGCATACATACCTCTAAATTCGTACATAAATATCTAAACTGTCTGTTAGATAAAATCGCTTTCTCAGATCAATAACTAAGAGTGGCTTCGAGCGAGTGAATCCTTTGAGTCTTCGAGAAGACCATTCTTCTTAGAACCTTGATGTCTTGTGCTACAGTATCACAAATAAGTATTTTCTACTCGATAACAAAAATCATATTCCACGACGTATTTTTACAGCAGTAACAACGAAATCGAGTAGCACAATAACTTGAAGAGAAAACCATGAAATAATCAAGATACCACATACCAAATTACTCTAAATCTAAATAAACGGTTAACAATGAAAAACCGTTTTTGGTACAGGAAAGATCAATAACATCTACTGGGTTTAAGAAACTTATTTTCCAGAAAAAATGTTTCAAGAAAATGGTTTTATAAATTTCAGCTGGCCATAGTGCTGGCTGTTCATTTAATGAATGCCAGATATTTCCTTATAAGGAAACGGTTGATATTACTACTACCGTTAATGTTTTCCAAAGTCGAAAGCGAGTTCCACAAGAAAGAAGTGCGAGAAAGCAAACTGTTACTATAGAACATTTGTTAACATCAAGCAATTTCAACTATAAAATGATTATACCTAGCTGTCAATCTAATAGTGCATTTAAATTCGTAATGTCGAGGTAGCAAAGCTGAAAACAAGTATGAAAAATTACAATGAAAGTATGTACAGAACAGGGTACCTTACGGCGGTGGGAGAGTAAATGGAGTAGAGATGCCAGGTCAGGAACAATAACATTGCTGATTAGGTTTATATCAAGAAATTATAAGTACATACAGAAACACCACACAAGGCATGACAACAATATTCAATGCATGGATGAATAGTAGACTTATAATTGTCTAAGGTAGATTCTGGTAAGAAAAATTTGATTAGCACGTCATAGTGAAGCAACTTTTCTTAGAGCAGACCTGACAGTTGATTCAGTATAATATTTCTACGTAAAGTCAGCTGAAAACGTTAACTAGAGACGGCGCAATCAGGAGGTTAACATCAATATATATATATATATATATATATATATATATATATATATATATATATATATATAGGTAATACCTCGAATTTTTGAATTGCCAATAATCAAATCAATCTCGAGGTAAAAAAAAGATTTTAAAAAAGAAGAGCTAGAAACATGAAAGTCTGTCGAAAGAAATCACACAGATACAGGTTTGAAGCCCAAAGAAAAAACCCTGATACGAGTAAACAACTATCAAAAGAGCTCACTACAACCGTAGAGCAGACCTAGATAAACCTAGCCAGACAAACCTACCTAGGTTTCACCTAAGCATCGTCAGGGAAAGCTAAGCTTTCCCTGACGATCCGTTTATATATATTGATGCTAACCTCCTGATTGCGCCGTCTCTAGTTGTCTGGCTCACTAGGTTTCTCTCTCTCTCTCTCTCTCTCTATATATATATATATATATATATATATATATATATATATATATATATATATATATAAAGAAAGAATAGTAAGATATATAATCCGGTGTTCTTATTGATATTTTGTATTTTTATTTTTACAAAACAGTGCCCAATGTAAATTTACAGAGCATGAATATATATGATAAAAAAATTAAATAATGTAGGTAATCCTATTACATTTACTTGTTTTTTTGTTTTTTTTTTAAATATAGTCTATTAGTAATTAAGAGAAAAAAATATTTTAAAATTGTAGTTAAATATTACGTAAAAAAAGAATCTTTAAGTATATAAGTAAGAAAAAAATGCCGAAAATCTTTTTGCCGTTAATAAAAAAAACCCTAACGACATGCATTTAACGGATGTCAGAATGCGTTGAAAAATACACCCCTAGCCTCCCTAAACTTAAACTCTTTTTCGAACGTAACTCATAATTGATACAACAATAGTTAATAAAAATGAACAAGCTACAGCCCCAGTCTGAATGATTGGATTTCCCTGTATCCATGGAAACAGGAAATTATGAATTTCTATGTGCATTTAAAACTCAGTAAATCTAAAAATAAGTTATTCCAATATTCGCTTGAAGATGAAACGGAACGAATGATTTTAATTTAATTATATAATTAAACCTAAATATTTTAGCTTCCATTTTTGAAACATGGTTATTACTGTGTAGCGAAAAACATATTTTTAATCAGTTGATATATATATATATATATATATATATATAGGCAAAAGAGTTCCTGTTAAACAAGAAATGTGGATGATTTCTTTAAGGCGAATATATACAAATGCAAGAAATCGAAAACAAAATTTTAATCGTTGATGGAAGATCATAAGGCAACTTAATGTTACATTTAGCCAAGTCAGCTATGGACTGATGAGAAAATGCTGGCAGTCTAGTGCTACGATTAAATTAATGAAGTCAATGTACCATAGCGAATTGTTCAGCCACGCAGCTACCATGAAAGTATTTATAGAAAAGTCACAGGGAAACTTTGTTACCTCGATTGGAATGTGACTGAAGCCGAGACGCCATGTTAGGACCAATAATATTGCTGATTCTACTTTTGATTTTATCAAGAATCTGAGAATGTATAGCAGGAACAGTGGACAATATGTAACAGCAATATTCAAAGCAAGGATATATAGTAGAGAGGAGAAAAAAGCAACCAGAAGAAGTACCATGGAAAATAAGGGGATACGACCTTTTTGGTACAGGGAGATATGGTGTCTCATTTATATATGAACTCTCAAATACTATAAATAACTACGGCTATATCTCATCAGGCAGTTCAGTGCATGCTACTTCCCGTGAATTAATAACACCATACTACAGATAGACTGATAAATATATAAAATAGATTCAGGAAAAAAAGTATTGTCTAGCACGTCACAGAGAATCAACTTTCTTAGCAAAAGACCGAACAATGAATTCAATATAATCTTTTCTCATCATGTCACCCGAGAAGTTTTAGCGAGTAACTCTCTTGAAGGTTAGCATCAGCCATAATGAGAAGAGCCTGGAAAGAAGTTTGAATGCCGTTGGCTAATAGAAAACCGCAACATGATCAGCAAAATTAATAGCGGTAGTTCATTTTATATAAAAAATAAATGTTGTCACTACTACCCCTATTTATACCATAAAAATATAAAGATATATATATATATCTAGAATTAATTTTATTTTTATTTATTTTATAAAAATCGGTGAGCCACAGTTTCATCGTAAAATGAGCCTGATTCTAATACATTCAATTTCTTTTAAGTCCACAAATGTTACATTTTTCGTTAAAGCAGACGATTAAAAAGTACCCCCATTAAGTCAGAAATAATTAACAAAATAATTAGGGTAATTTTTTCTTAGGAAGATAAATTAATCATGGCTGGGTGGAGTTAAAATTTCCTCGATTAAATTTGATAAATGAACTAATGGCATTTTTGCCATTGCTCTATCTCTGTGAAATATTCGTTGGGAAGATAGAGTAAAGTTCTTTGCAAAGAAAAGACATAAAATGTTTTCCAGAGGAAGAAACCTACATTGCAGAGTAGTGGGAAGACTGGAGGGCGTATATCTGGAGAAAGTGGGTGCCTTTGAAATCTTAAGGAAAGAAAGGAAGTAATAAAAGGAAGGTGATGAAAAAGAAGACAATATAAGTGAGGAGGACAAAGAGTAAATAAAAAGCAATGAAAAGACGAACAAGAAAAGAAAAGAACGTAAATACAAGGAAGAAAAGAGAGAAAATAAAAATAAATTAATATAGAAGTCAAGAAAGCAGAAAACGAGAAAGAAAATAGAAAAAAACTCAAGCAAAAACTGAAAACAATAACAAATTGGAAGGGCCGAATGAAAATAAGTAAAAGATACGTAAAAGAAGAAAAAAATGAAGACAAAAAAGAAAAAAAAGGAGAAAAAGACAAAAAGAAGAAAAAATTAGAAAAGAAAAAGGAGGAAAAAGTAAAATAAAAGAAAAAAAAAGAAAAAAAGAAAAAAAAGGAGAAAAAAGAAGAAAATAAAAATAAACTGAAGAAATGGATAAAGAAATAAAAAAAATAAGAAAAAATGAAAACTTTTTATAAAGAAAATATACTGAAGTTGGAGGAGAGAGTGAAAAGAAAAGTGGAGTAAAAATGGAAGCCTATGTAAATGAAATGAAGAAATAAAAAAAGAAGAGTAAAATAGTTACAAATAATAATAAGAAAAATAAACATTGAAAATGTATTTATGAAACGAAAAGAAAATCCAATTAATTGAAAAGAGAATATGATGATATGAAAGGAAGAAGAAAATAAAAAAATCAACGAAAGACAAATTGCTTGAAAAGAGGAATAATAATAATAATAATAATAAGAAGAAGAAGAAGAAGAAGACGAAGACAAAGAAGAATAAGAATGAGAGAAAGAAGAAACAGAAGAAGAAGAAGAAGAAACTCAAAAAGATGAAAACATAATAAAAAGATGAAAAAGAAGATGAAGAAAAAATATACAAAAATAAAAGAAAAAAGGAGTGAAGATTTTTCAGTCAAAATTCAGATAATAAATTACCTTCGACAGGATAGAACGAAAAGAAAAAAACTTAGATAGAATATTGAGTGATTTATTTGCTTATTTTTTACGCCTAATCAAACATTTGCAGATTATTTAAATCACGAAAGCATTTTTTATTGTAAAAAAAAATTACATAATAATTAACTGATATAAGTCCTACTAATTAAGCTCGGAGAGAAGAGGTATTTTCATAAAATTCCCAGCGATATACTAACCCCTTAACAAAACAGAAGGATTGAATTTTTGATTGATTGATTTTTTTACAGATAATCAAACATTTTCAGGTTATTTAATGCCAATAAATATTTGTAAATTGTAAAGCTTTTTTAAGGTAATAATGATTTTCGGATTCCTACTAATTAATTAACCCATGGCTTGGGAGAAGAAGTGTATTACTACTTTTCCAACATCATTTGCGCGAATATACATATAATGAACCCAACCTGAATTAGAACTCAGTAATTCGATTCCCATGTTTTTTTCACTGTACTACCCGCACATCCCAGTTAACTGTCCCTGACTTTACCCAGCGGTTAGGCATCTAGATATCAATCTAGCTTGAAGCTACTTCGTTGATCACACGAGAACCGGCGTTTCAAGCGGATGTGGCCGTAAATTGATGGAAAAATGGCTAAAAATAGAAGAAACACTGAGTCAAAAGGAGGATTTTTCGTTGACGCCGCTACTATTTTAACTAACTTCACTCCTCGGCAATGTTTATAGATAAACACTTCACAATTGTTAGTTCTCATATTTTGATAATTTAATGAAAATTTATACATTTAGGAATAAAGACATAGTTTTTATATTTACTTCTTTATGAATTAGCAAATGATAAATAGTATACTAGGTTAGTTTTAATTGTATTAGTTTTTGGAATACTGTAAATATAAAATTATTATTTAAATATATGTTTAGTGGTACAAACTATGAACTATTCTGTTCTAACATCAAGTTGAATGATGAACTTAGGTTTATTACTTCTAATCTCTGCAACAATGCCTACCCATTAGGCATTGTTCAAGCAATTATTAAGAATAAAATTGCTGAATTTAACATAGTGAAACCTGCTATAGTAAAAAGATTTCGTGTGTACCTACGCCTTACTTGGCTAGGTAGTATGAGTGATAGGTTTGCCAAGCAGGTTTCTACTGCAGTTCGACATTGTTACTTTGCCGCTAACACTCGTGTTGTTTTCTCTGACAAGCCTGTCCTTCCGTCTATGCGTCAGGATGTTCTCCCTCCACATCATACGAGTTCATTAATTTATTCTTATAAATGAAGTTGCGGTTCGCACTACATAAGGAGAACGATGCAAAGGCTGGATGTTAGAATAAAACACGTTCCAGTGAAAATCCGAAACCTTAAGTACACTCCCTAGGATATTCTGATCAATACATACGATTCTTCCATCGCAGAATACCTTATAAACAGCCATAATTTTGATGTTAGTTTTAGTCGTGACGCTTTTACCATCCTTAGCAAGTCCCACTTAAATTACCACCTAAAAGTGTTGGAGGCCATCTATATTCTATCTTTAAAGCCTTCTCTATGTAAACAGAAGGACTTTGTATTAAGCCTCCAACTAATTACCTTTTATTTTTTTTCTCTTCCCAATACACTTTGTCCATTGTTCTTTTTTATATAATTTACTTTATTTACTTCGATTTAGCTCTGTTGAGCGAGGTACGAAACCGGTTAGCTAGCCCGTTTTTCATTTTTACTTTTATTATCATGAGTAATATTAAAACTAATTTTTGTCTGTTTATGGCAGTGATAAAATTATTATTGCAAATAAATAATCTCATAAATAATTAATGTTTATTACTTTTTGTAAATTGTGAAGAACAAAAAACGTATAAATTTACTTTCATCATGTTTAGGTTTTATTACAATTCTAATTGTCGCTTTATATAACTAGAAACATTACCTGTTAGTGAAGATAGTTAAAATGCTAGCAAGATCAAAGGAAAGACCGTTCTTTTAATACTCCATTTTTTACGGGTATGGAAGTCCATATTGCCGAATTTTTAATTAGAGCCAAATGAAACGTGCAAATGAAGAGCATAAAAGGTTATTAAAAGTCGAAATTTGTTAAAAATGAGAACACCGTTAGAAAGAAAATAAATTTATTCCACATTTTACGATAGTGCACTAAACATTTTGACCAGCAATGTTCCCATAAAAATGGCATGTCAATATTGTTATTTATTCTTACAAAAGTACAAAATGTGGCACAAGGCCTAAAAGGGGGTTGGGGAAGGACGGTCTTCTTCTGTCTTAATTCTAAACTTAGCTAGACCCAGACACGGACCCAAACATATCAACAATAGTCCTATCACCAAAACAACACATTCACTCCTACCTTTCTTGCTGCGTCCACCATAATACTTCAAATTCTCAAATATCGAACATCCTCATGCGATATTCCGACCATATTTAAGACATGTTTCAGACAATTTAAAGTAATAACGTTTAGTTTAACTAAACCATTAGACTTAAATAATAAAACACTGAAAGACTACTTTTCTGCAACCGCAATTCCCTCTAATCTGTCATTGGTCTATATACAGTTCACAGAAAAGGGTTAGAAACGCTTAAGGCATGAAACTGACAGTTGTTTTCTATTATTAATACCTATGTCTACACTGTTTATATCTAGCCGCCTTAGTAGACGGCCATTATTGGATACGAGTATCCAACCATCCATATAAAATTTCAACATTCTGCGTTCACCGATACAGATCTATTTATAATTATGTATAAGCTGTATCCGTCTATATTTATGAGATAAGGTATTATGTACAGAAAGCTATAACACGATGGGAAGTGGAAAAATCAGGCGTTTCTGACCATATATGGAGAGACAAGAGAGATCACCGCCCTTTGTGAGATCAGGTTGACATCATGGACAAAGAACATCATTGGAAAATTTGTAAACTTAAGGAATCAGCACATATGCTAGGCTACAAAAATCTCCAGAGCCGACCAAGCATAGAAATGAATACAATATGGGAATCAGTAATAAGGAGTGCCAGAGAAAAGCGATAATATCAAAAAATGTAATATGAGCTCTGGTAAAAACATACAATGATAACAGCAAAAATTGCAATATGAGCACTGGTAAAAATGAATGCTCTAGACATTAGGTTTATAATACACGGAAATTCATAAACAGATGTCCTTAAAGAGACATGGTCACAGTGGGTAAAGGTGTTAGTTAGATCGAGTGACAGGACCCAAAGAGTGTGAGTTCAATACCTGGTTAAGGCGGTGGAGAACTTGGAGAGAAGAATTAACAGGCGATAATTAGAATCTACCCCATTGAACGAAATAAAGGGTTCAGTTTGACATTCCAACCACCTGAAGAAGGCCGGAGCGTACAACGGCCGAAACGTTGTGATAAATTTATTAACAAAGATGTGGACAATAGTCCAAATAATGTAAATAGTATGTATAATCTATAGAAGCAAAATCTCTCAAAAGAGATATATCGTAGTACTTTCTCGATGCCCAAAAGAAAATGCAGATTCTGGTGGTGGGGGGTATTTTCGTAACAAATCCCACCTGATGTTTTCTTCACGGTTCTTAAAGATCAGAGACCTTTTAGGACGGCCATATACTCGTCCTTTTGAAATATTGTACAAAACGTCCAACAATTTAATGATGAAATGATTCCAGCTGCGTATATAATTACACGATGAAGTCCCAAGAAACACATTTTATGAAAATGTTTTTGAAAAGACAGTTAGCCATGCCATTACGTCACATGTAGTAATATTTATGTCGAAAATAATAACTACTATGGAATTTTAGAGAAGGAAAAATTATTATAAGCGTTGCTATCAGGACCGGCCATGCTGATTGTTATTTTTCCCAATGGAAACGTTTCGACTGTTGTATCTTCCGGTATTTTTCAGTTTTGTCTTTCAATTTATTCCACATTTTACGTAAACTAGAAAGGGTTACTGAATGGGGAATAACCAAAATGGAGGTTGGTAATGAAATGGTAATATTTATAACATCAACAAAATACAATACTCACCAGCAGCGTGAAGTAGGTAAACAACAGCTTAGACAGCATATTACGATATTTACCTGATCCCCCCCCCAAACGAGGTAGGATGCAGCACAGGGTCAAATTTAATGTGGGGGACAAAAATTGCCCGCAGACCCTGTATACGCAGGATCGGGTATCTGTCTACCTCCCCAGACGAGATTCTGCCCTTCGGCATAACCTCGTCTGGGTTCCTCTCCATCCGAAGGCAGAGAGTTCGACACGGCAAGAGCTTCCCACGATGATAGCTTATGCTGCCAGCGTAGACAGTAGATTATCGCCACTTACAATAATGTCCAACATATTTATGAGGATTTTGACATACCCATTACTTATCTTAGGTACGCTGTATAGGACTTTCCGTGCAGGAATTTGGAAACAAACACTTTATTCAATTCATTCTTCTTTCGCTTTCGATCGAATAATTTTACAAATATTTTTTTTTTACTAATAAATATTTTTACTAATTTTTTGAAATAATTTCTTCAATAAACATGGTATTTTTTTTATTGTTTCAATTGTTTAAACAAAAGGTATCCAACTGTATTTAACTGATATTAACAAGAAATACTTCTTGGGACAGTATATATCCTAATGGGATAAAAAAAAAATGAATACATTATGTTTTGGGATTTAATTGTTTCATTTTTCGCTTAAAAATGTGTCAATCCTAAGAATTTCCAAAGTGACCACGTGCAACAATAGTCTATATCATCGTCATAAATAATTAAATATCATTATGAATATTTTCTTGATAAAAATTCCGACATGAGGAATAAATATTATGCACTTTGCTATTTGCACCAGCATCTTTATTTTCTTCTGAGTACTGCATTTTCTGAGTACTCACTGCATTTGTTTTCTTCTGAGTACTCACTGTATTTGTTTTCTTCTGATTACTGACTAGATTTTGGCAGTTGTATCTTCCTGTTTTTTTCTTGATTTTCTTTTCTTCGTTTGAAGCTTCTTAGAATTTCGGACCGAACACTTTATTCATCCCATGTGGCAGATTGTTCTTATTGTTCTTATTCCACTTTTGATCAGACTATTCCCGAAATGTTTTATGTTTTCTCAATTCATTTTGTCATACCTTCAATATAGTATATATCGACATATTTCTTTTTTTTTAAATATAATCTAATTTTAATATCTGATGTTATCAACAGGAGACCTATTTCTCCTATTATGTCTATATCGCTTGAAGTCTTGGGATTTGAAATTTTCTTTTTGGCCTCAAATCTGTCATTCCTAAGAATTTCCAAAGTGACCCTCCTACTCTAGAAATAGTAACAACTCCTGACATTTTTTTTTATTCTAAAATTATCCCAGTACAGAGCTTAAGAAACACTGACGTTTTATGTTTAAAGCGAATTTAGAATTAAGTGTGCGATATAAATTAAGCAATTGGTAGAATGTGTAGGGGAGAATAGGCTCCTCAAATTCTAATGAAGGCAAACTGACGGCTTAATCTGAATTTTAAACCAGCCATATAGGTGTATGGCCCCCACCAGCGATAAAACAACAGCTACAATAGGTGTCTTACGAAAGTAATGTGTGTGTGTGTGTGTGTGTGTGTGTGTGTGTGTGTGTGTGTGTGTGTGTGTGTGTGTGTGTGTGTGTGTGTGTGTGTGTGTGTGTGTGTGATAATATTTTCTCTGTACCATCCATCTTAGAGAAACATGGAGAAACAATATTTTGGTGAAGAAAGTTTTCTTGGTCTGACTGTGAACTTTCTTGCATTTCTCATATTTAAACGAAAGAGATGTGATTTTAATTTCTGAAAAAAATATTTTATTCTCAGGATTCTTTTATTTTTCAGCATCTTCGAGCACTGTATTCAGAAAAATTCCCGTTTTTACACGAAGATGGTAAATAACGATAAATATAACTTTGAAAAATAGCGGTAAATATATATTTGAAAAAATAAAAAAGACACAGATTGACTGTAGATTAAGTTTTAATCTCGACAGAATGTTTGTAAACAAGGCTTAATGCAATTTTATTTATGGTCTCAAAGTAAAATCATGCTATTTTTTTTTTACATTTACATATCAAATCTATTTTAAAAACACTTCAGACAGAGAATAATAAATCGTTAAGGTGTTATGAATCAGATTGGAATAGATAGATAGATAGATAGATAGATAGATAGATAGATAGATAAGGAATAATATGTTATATGATATTCTTAATTTAATCGGTGTCACCCCATGAAAGACATTAAAGCCACTAAGACACAAGGGGGTTACACGGTGGGGAAGAATTACGAACAGCGACGTTAATAATGATAGGGAAGATTAATCAGCACAGTAGATAGCGATTGATATTGGATTTAAATTTTGCAGGCTAAAGTTGGCTGGAAAACATGAAGCCATAAGCGAGAAACGAAACTATTAGCATAGAAATTTCGGTTACATTTAGTCAGCTCAACTGTAAATTCATGGCATCTTCACGCCAATCTCGTTCTGCACTTAAATTCCTATAGTCTAGGAAATATAGCGAAGAGCTCATCCTAACAATTACCATGAAAGTATTTATAGAAAAGACAGAGAGAAGCAAACTTAAGGCTGTGGAAAAATGACTGAATCCGAGCCGCCAGATCAGGACCAACAATAGTCTTAATTCTACTTTGGCTCTTCTCAATCTTGTGAAAGAGCTCAAGGTAAATAGTAAGGGCACCGGACCGTATATGTCAGTAATATTCTAAGCATGCATTTATAGATACGTAAGATCGATTCTGGAGAGAAAACAAAGCCCATTCGAGTGAACTGATCATCATAGCAGATGACCTAGCAAGGGATTCAATACAGTCTTTAAAATTCGTCTTCTACATTGTTGGTAAGCAGGTGATTGGCCTATAGTTCTTCGGGTTCTGTGTCTCTTCTGTTTTGGAAGTAGGTATGTTATTCACCATGTGATCCATTGGGGTATATTTCTAGGTTTATGTTTATATCATTGTATGCCTGTACGAGGTCTTGGTGGGCGCTAGATTCGGATTTTCTCCCAAAATTGTCTATGTGACTTATTCCTGGTGCTTTCCAGTTTTGTTTTTTTGCAAATGACAGCGGTTGCTTCAGTAATATTAATTACCGTTCATTTTTAGCACTTTATATGTTTATATATATATATATATATATATATATATATATATATATATATATATATATATATATTAGAAGAGAGAAGAAGATCTAAAAGGTCAAAAAATCTAACAGTGATCTCATCTCACAATCCTCACACCTGCTCCATATGTGGCCTTCTTTGTAAATCACTAGCGGGTCTTAAATGTCACTTAAAATTAGCGCATAAACTTTCATAACTGAATCAATAAGCTGGCAGATACTCATACGTCGACACCGACGGGAGAGTCCGTTATTATTATTATATATATATATATATATATATATATATATATATATATATATATATATATATATGTGTGTGCGTGTGTGTCTGTTGTTCCTGTTGATGCTTGATCTATTTAACTTTTAATTGTGCAGTTTGCAGTTATCCCACATCTTACACCAGAACTGCTCGACTTCTTGGATATTTGGTGGGTCATCTCTATTTTATTTTTTCCCAGTTCTCGATATAGTTTCTAGGCATCTTTGAAAATCCTTTTTTTTTCCCAGAAGAAACCGTTTCTTTTTTCATGACGCCTGATTCTCTGTGCTTTCGTTTGACATTGTTGTTTCAGCTTCTCTTTAACTTTTGTGACGTCATTCTTATTCTTAATGTCAAGGCTTCGTTTCAATTGTCTCCATTTTATTTCATTTGGAGTCCTTGTCTACTTCATTTAAAATTGAGAATTGTCCTCGTAAATTATTTATTTCGGTTTCCATTTCTTCTCTCCAGACTGGCATTTTTCTTTTTCGTTTGCGTTGTATGTTTTACTTTTTTTACCTGTGGTCGTTGCCGAAACCGACTATATAACGTGATTAATTTCTGTCAGTTTCATCGATCTTTCCATTTCGTCCCTTATTTTTCTAATTGTTTGTTTAGCGAGGTTGATAAATTCCTTTATTTGACGTTTATTTCTTACCCTTGTAATTGTTGACCTTTCGGCGCAAGACATTTCTTTTACATTCTCTCATTATATTGAATGTTTTTGTCATCTCTGTTTCTCTCTCATATTCGGCATTATCTTCCTCTATCTGCTTGTCTACCCCAGGGGGATTATTACAACTAGTTTCTATGTGTTCCTCTGCATATTCTTTGGCTTTTTGGCATATAGACCTTCGATGTTAACGTTTAATCTATTTTTTATATTTCTTGGATACTTTCGAGTTCTATGTTAGATATTCTACTTTTCTTGATGATTTCACACCTAAGTTGTTGGCATGGATATTTAGCCTGTTTGATTGATTTGTTTTCTTGACAGATATTATAGGCGGGTTTGGTCGTCGTCGTTATCGGATGTATCGAAGTAATGTAAAATGCTACAATTACTTCAATATACTCTTCCGTAGACCATTTATTTATTGTTCTTTTTCTGGGATTTTATTTTAATAGAGGGCATCTTTGAGAAATGTCCTCAGTATGGTTTTCCTCTAGTTCTCGTTGGGTAGTCTTCGTTCTAGCTGCAGACTTTTCGATCACAGTCTGGTTATTCACTGGGTATCGCGGTTTTTGTTAACCAGCGATAGGAGAGATGCGGATTAGTATTACAGTTAACTCGTATTTATCCATACGAGGGGACTTGTTCGTGGTCTCCAGATTCCATCATGTCGTTATGACAAGGTATCCGTTATCTTTTTATACTATTGCTATTATTAACAAGAGCGGAACAATCTTCAATTATAAACGTTTGGATCCCAAGTTCTTCATGAGACAATTTTCAATAGATTTTTTTTTTATTTTTCTCTCTTATGTTCAGTAATATGAAACTATATTACACTCTTCCTAATCTTGTTATTGCACGCATATATTTACCCATAAATACAATTAATATATAAATATTAATAATATTTAAATAAAAGTTTATTCAATTCCCAAGTAGGTATCTATGCAGGCGACTCCACTATTTACTCCTGCCTCAATAGTAAATCTGGTAACGTTGACAAAACTAACCTGGCCGTTGGTCTTGAAAAGGACCTCTAATATGTGGTTGATTGGGGCAAGAAATAGCTGGTAAACTTTAATGCCTCAAAAACAAAACTGCTCTTTATTACTCGCCAAAGAAAATACCCCGTACCTCCCATTAGAATGTCTAATACTCAACCACGAGAATGCGCCTTATTGGGCTCACGCTTTTCGCTGACCTACAATTGAATCAATAGCTATCTATAAATCTACCATTCGCCCTTGCATGGAATACTGCTGCCATATATTGTCTAGGGCCCCTATTGTTCGTCTCAAGGTCCTCGACAAAATCCAGAGAGGGATAGGGAATGGGATTAATCCTGGCCTGCTATCTCGTCTGCAGTCACTTTCCCACAGACCTACAATTACTTCCCTCTGTCTTTTCTACAAATACTTTCACGGTAACTGCTCCGACGAGCTACTTTCGTTGCATAAATTTAAGCATGCTACAAGGTTGGCATTTCAGCCCAACCTTTCACTGTCGAAACTGTTAAATCTAACTGTCTCTTCTACTCCAAAAGCTTTATGTCTCGGACTTCCCGTCTGAGAAAGTCCCATCCTCTTACTTGCTTCTTCAAGGATAGTTATTATCTTCAGTTATTCAAATACAATGTCAATCGACATCTCCAGATGCCTTGATCTAATTCCCCGTCCTTCTCTTCATCCTTTTCTCTCTCACTCCTCTTTTCTCTTGCTCCCACTCTCTCTAACCCTTTGCGTGCTAGTAGTACTCCCACCTTGCTTGGGTTAAAATGATTAAAAAATAATAATTAACTGTATGGCTTATAAAATAAAATAAAAATTATAAACTACTAACAAATAAACAAGTAACAAAAGATCATTAAACATAAAGAATACTTCGGTCTCACCACAATCACCACCACCAACATCATCCCCACTAACACCATCATCATTATTATTACTGTTATTGCATTTTTCTTTGTTTCTCTTTCTTCTTCCTACCAGTAGTATTAAGAGTCTAATAGCTGTTCAGTATTCTGTGCGAAACAGGTAAAAGAATTGCGTCAAAAGTTAAAACTAGTAGGTACTGATTAAATATCTGAATACCAACAAATAATATAACTTAATAACATGTTTCTAAAATTACAATATTATTAATCCCTAGAAGAACGGACCAGTATTCCAATAGATAATGGAGATGTTGACTTTCTGTACACAAAGAACACACTCCGGAATGGGATCACACATATATCGACAGGATGAGGGATTAGCAATGGGCTAGCTATTATGACCATCAATGGCAAATATATACAGGGAATACTTTGAGGAAATGGCATTAGAATCTATATCTCTAAAGCCAACTATATAGGTAAGGTACGTAGATGACACCTTCATACTCTGGCCACACCAGAAAAATGTTCAGGTTCTACTGGACCATGTGAAATCAATAAGACCTTCGATACAGTTCACAATGGAGAAAGAGTGTAACAACACACTCCCATTCCTGGATGTTCTAATATCTCGAACAGAGCATGGGTTCAAGACATCCGTATACCGTAAACCGACATTCACCGGACAGTACCTCAAATTCAACTCCCACCATCCATACAGCGTAAAGAAAGGGATCGTCCGCTGCTTACAACACCGAGCAAAAGTCATAATGCCGAGCCAGAGACATTAGATAAAGAATTGGTTAGTATAAGTAGTAGCCTACAACGTAACAACTACCCTGGGTACATGGCAGCAGCCCCCCAAAAAACTGGGATAGAGAGTACAAGAGGAGGACAACAACACTGAGAAAACAGTCTGCCTGCCTTATGTGAAGGGGTTATCAGAGAAAATACAAAGGATCTGCGGTCCATATAACATAAGGACAACCTTCAAAAGTTGGACGACACTTCGCAGCTATCTCTCCCGAGTAAGACCCCCCATAGAGGAGAACATGACTAAAGACTGTGTCTACGCTATCCCATGCAGCTGCGGAAAGAAATATAAAGTGGAGACAGGCCGCCCCGTTAAGGTAAGTCTTGAAGAACACCAGAAAGATGTAACACGAGGGGAAGTGGAAAAATTAGGTGTGGCTGACCTCATATGGAGAGAGAAGGGAGATCACCGCCCTCTGTGGGATTATGTTGAGATCATAG